AACTGGGTGTCTGCAGGACGCTCTCCTTTGAGCCGTGTCCCTGCAAACCTCGGTGTCCCTCCATGGAAGGCTGAAGCTCCCCGTAGCTGTTCCTAGCTCCCTCCATGAAGAGAGGCTGGAAAGAGCCTCCAGGACCTGAGCAGCCATGGGGTGATGTGCCCCGTGGTCCAATGTCTGAGCTTGTCTGGGCTGGCGAGTCCCTTATCTCTGTGTTGCGAGACTCCCTCTTTGCCCTTTGGTCCTTGCGGTGGCAGGACTCTCTGCCAACCCATCCCTGCTTCAGTGATCCTGCGGGTATGGTCCTGGCTTCCCCGGGTGGCTCCAGTGGCTCGTGCCACGGCTGTGGGAAGTGGAGCAGAGCGGAGTCCCTGCAGACTCGCTCAGCAGCCTCGAGCGTGATTCACTGGGTGGCGGGAGCAGCCCAGACCTTGGTCCAGCACCCAGGCCAGGGCGAGCTCTGGGTCAGGAATTTCCTGTCGGTTAATGATCAGCTGCAGGACTGGAGCCTCGGGAGAAATGAAAAGCCAGCACCAGGAAATGGTCCCAGCAAGATTGAGCCTGGGCGAGCTGGGGGAGAAGCAGGGAGGTGCTGCCTGTGCGAGGCCGAGGCGGGGGGCTTGGTTCTGCAGGTGGGCTTTAGTCCTCAACTGGATCTGTTGTTTTACCTGCCTCTTTTCTGAGAATTTCACCAGACTGTCATGACTAGTGTCGTGATCCAGTGACTGAAGGTCATGGGTAGGATGGAGCTCAGTGGCCCCACAGCACCCGCAGAGCTCGTGGTCTGAGAGCTCCCGTGGGAAGGGATGAGCAGGATCTCAAACCCTTCGCTTTCCAGCAAGGTTAGGGTGGGCAGCTGCGGTGAGTGAGCAGCACAGGTGATGCAGGCAGCACCGGGAGCAGCTCCCCCTGCGCGTCTCCGGCACGTCGCTGTTGGCAGGGCGGCTGCTCGCCAGCCCGTTCGGATGAGGCTTTTAATGGGAGAGGGGTGAGAAATCAAAACGCCCGGCAGTGACGTTACCAGTTAAACCACAAGTACAGCAAATTATTGACCTCTCCGGCTGGACTCCTGGGGAAGTGGCAGTGCTGCTGCAGACGGCAGCGTTAAACACGCATCGGTGGACTCCCGGGCTCCGGCTACCGGTGGTGAAAACAGACTCAAGAAATGCTCGGCTCCACCTGCCTCGGATGAGGAAACCTGGTTCTCTGGAGCTGTCAGCACCTTTCAGCTGTTACAGACCATCAGCCGCTGGGTTCTCTTCTCCTGATCCCTTGGAAACTCACGTTCTGGGAGCAGGAGGAGATGCCAATGTTTGTCCTACACCGCAGTGGCAGCCCCGGTGAGCTCGGGGGGTGCCCGGAGGCGCTTTGCTGCTTCGCACCCTCCAGAGGTCCGAAGTCTCACGTTCGAGGCAGCGTCGCTGAGCGTGGCGTGGTCTGGTGAAAGCCTGGCTGGCCTCCAGGCAAGCTGAAACACG